ACTTACGAGCGGCGAGGTGGACCGAAGGGAGGGGAACTTTTGCGGTACGACGACGCAGGCAAAATGTACAATACACTTGTGACATACTTCGATTGTCATCCGGCGCACGAGGCGCGAACTAAGTGGCGGATACTCTAAGCGGTTAAATAATCCAGATGTTTATAACGTAACGCGGGGGAGGGGGGGGTGAGGATCCCTCTTCCCCGCTCTCCTTATACAGTGTAATCGAACACGCGCACACGTCACTACCTGTAGGGCACGACACAACGACTATTTACCGTCTCTAAGTCTTAGCGAGTTACTTGGTAATTTTAATCGATTTTTCGTAAAACGACGGGGCGAGACCCCGATGGGGAGAGCCGCTGTAATTCATTCGCACGCGTCGGGTCGCGGACCTGCGACGATCACAGGTCGAGGTGACCGAATTCCTCCTATCGGCGTTTCGTTCTCCAGCCGGTGCACTCAGGTATACTTGTCGGGAGGAGTTCGCAGGGGGGGGGAGAGAGGAATTTCTTCTTTTTTTTTCTTTAAGCGCGAATGATGCGACTCCAAACGCGTCGAGGTTTCCTCTTTCCGTTGTAGGATTACGCGACGTGTTACCCTTGTCGAGGCCCGAACGGGTCGATCACCGTTCGAATTTCCAATCGGTGGCAGCGCGCGAGATTCGAGGCATCCCGATATACCTGCCCACAATAACGAGACGATAGATTAGGAGTAATCGCACGGTGTGAAGCCCCCGAACACACCTTTCACTGAGAAATATCGGCTTTACCCCGCGTACGTATGCGCGTGTGTGTGCGTGTGTGTGTGTGTGTGTGTGGGCGCCCGTCGTGGATTATCAGATAGGAAATTAGGGGAGGCGCGCGGCGACGACAAAGCTATTTGTATGTACTACTGGATAGGAGGGGGAGAGAAAAAAAAGAGAAACCTACGGACAGAGGGAAAATGTTCTGCACCGTAACACGCGCGATCTGATGGTACTACTACTCTAAAAATTCATCACGCTTGAAGGCTATCGAGAATCTATACATAACTGAGTGTTTTACTATTGGATTACAATATTATCTATTAATGTAAATGATACCTATTAATGTAAATGGTTTTTCATTATTACATTATTATTATATTATAGATGTTATACTTAATAATATATTTACAAATAATTAAGACGACCCTGTGGTTTCAGTCTGCTCCATCGTCTCCCCCGTTCCTCTTTGTGAGAAAAGAAGAAACAGTCGCGACTGACAATGAGTGAAAAATTTATCCAAGACCGTAGATGACACGATCTGCCAGGTCCTTCTGTGTCAGTCGCTGTAGAAGAAAATATTGACGGTATTAAGAATTATTTTGAACATAATCTAAACGCTTCGACTCTATACCCATTAAAAACTGCAGACTCTCCTGTTTTCAACGCAATTTTTGTTGTTTTTTTTTTCAATAACTGCATCCAGTTGAAAATGACAGCTGATTAGTTTCAACACCTTTCCACGGTACACTCTGCGTAAGGTAGAACTTAAAGGGGGCCCGTTGGTCACTCGAGTGGATCGAAGGTAGGAAAGAAGACCAAGATTTCCGACAATAAATATGTTTTATTACACATATATCTCGTACGACGATTACACGATATTAATACATTCATTTAACTGTCCAGCAATCAAACAGGTATTTTTATTTTTCTCTCCTCATCTCATCATCATTATCAATCTATTATTACTAAATATTATTACACATCTCATTGAATCATCGCGATTTGTTATACTTGTAAGTCACCATTGGACCGTCAAATTTTCTGCATGTTTTTCTCTCTGGCTTCTTCCTTCATTTTTTTTTTAGGTTTCTTAAAATTTTTTTTTGGACTCTGACGAGCAACTGGCAGATTGTATGTGTTACAGAAGACGTTTCGTTGCTCCAGCAACGATGCTTTAGAAGTGTGACAAGTCAGGGATGATCCAATAAGATTTGTATGACAAATTGTATTTTGTGGCGTTTTTTTGCTTTTTTATTTTTGTACCTGCGCACACACTCGCGAGATCCATCGAGACGAGCGACAAGAAAAGAAAGGAAACGTTACGGAAAGAACGGAGCGCGGTTTTCCGCTCGTCCATGCCAAAAATACAATCAAGGACGCATTCGCGCGCTAAATAATTGAAACATCGCCGTCTAATCGAATACTTTCGCCAAGTTTCAAACCCGGCGTCAGTGCAGAGGTACATCATCGATAACACTACATCGCCTCTTCCTTTCCTACTTCCCTCCCCCCCCCCCCCCGCTCCCCCTTTATCTCCTCACGCGACGTCGCCCCGACGATTGAAGCGAACGCGATCTCGATTACATTCGTTCGCGCAGCGAGTGTTATCGTCAACATTAATTAATAAATCAGTATCTCTCTTATCGCGCTTATCATTATTATTACTGTTAATGTTATGATTATTATCATTAATTATTATTTATATTATTATTATAACCTCGTTGCTTACGCCCTAAAAACTTCGTTAAGTTAACTCCCCCCCCCCCTCGACTTAACAATGTAGTCGCGGACTCTCGTGAACCTCGGAGTTTCTCTTACGCGCTAAAGCTTGGTGGCCAGCACCAAAACACTCACTAGATCATTGTCTACAACACACATAGAGATTTTGCTTTCTCCGTAGTATTTTTTTCACATTTTTTTTTACTGTTTTTGTTATGCGACTTTAGGTAATTTCCCTTAACGTGATTAAGAAATGTACGATTACGTGAGCCCGAGCTACCGGTCGCTTACGCGCGATTCACGATCAGACGCGGAATTTTCCCTACTTCGCGCAGTCGATGGCAAGGCTTACGACTTAGAGTGGTAGTGAAACGCCTTAATTTTGTTTTCCTTTTCTTTTAGGCTGATCCTCGATACGCTCGCCCTAATAACGCGATTCCACTCGTGTTTTCCCTGATATTATCGAGGCGCGAAATTGTCGCCATTCCACCAATACGGACGACTTACTCCGCTTTCTCTCCCCCCCGCCCCCTTGAAAATGAATAAGATCCCTACGCGACTCGTAGTCTAAGAGAAGAAGAAAATTATCCTCGCGATACACGTCTCTCGGCATAACTTGTACATTTAAAAAACACAGTGGCGAACGCCCGGCGTTCACCAGCGCGCGCTCCAAGTCCACTTGGATCCGCGGTCGCGGCGATCAACGCCGAACGGGCTTTGCAAATTTGAGCGATTCATGGACATCCGTGGTGAAGACACTTCTCCCTCTGACACCTCGCGCGAAATTTCCAGGATGATACGTTTACGTCGCCTGGACAATTCGTCGTCAGAAGACGTATTGGTGAACGGCACGCTCGGCAATCGACTTAACAATCACTTATATTACTCTTTGGTTAAAAACATCTATCGATATATATCCTCGCTCGCATTGTAATTGTACGTATTGCGTTCATGTCATTGTGTACGCGCGGACGCGCGTGTGTATGTGTGTGTGTGTGTGTGTGTGTTCTCCGTGTGCATATATCGCAAGAAAGCGTCTCGCGGCTCCGGTAATTGATTTTAATACAAACTTAAAAGGCCAGCTCTCGACATAGTTATGTATTAAAATTAATTGTACCCTTATCTCGATGCCTCCCGCCCCCCCCCCCTCCCTCGTTCTGCTGCTCGGTGCTCCCCCCCCGCCAGTTCGCATGATATGGGAAAAAGAAGCGGACACCTCGCTCCTCTCGCTTAAATCACACACAGCCGGCGGGTAATACTCTACGTGTTTGCTCTAGCGTTTCCCTTATAGACACGCGGCTACTTCTGGATTCTCGTTTTTCGATTACGAACAATTCACTTACGAACTTGTCTACGTCTACGAAGCGAACATGACAAAATCTTACGATTAAAGACAGGTATGCCTTTTTCTTTCTACCGATAAGTAGGTGACTATCGAATAACCGTCGAAGAACTAAAAGGATGAACGCGACTAAAAACTGCAACTGAGTATCCTTTCGTTTGTTTGTTTTTTTCAATTTCATTGCCTGTTCCTTTCCGACATTGCGCGCATTCTGGATAACGGACGCTGTAAATCGAGCTTCGATCCGCGGATGTAATTTTGAATATCAACCATTGGCGAACCGTTTCGAGCATTCGCGAAATGAAATCGAGAGAAATGCAACGCATCGTTGCGAGCTTACGCGGCATTACGGCGTAACGCAGGAATTGGAAACAAATTGACAAAACTTGCGCCGTACACAAGCACGAGTTTCAAACGTGGCTTACGTATCAACAATTTCCGCGTGGCGTTCGAAATGTCCAAGAAGAAGACAAGAGACATCGATCTGCTCGGAAGTATCGCTAATACGCATCGGTTAGAATCCATAGTATATCGTACACTGTTGATATGTTGTTGAGGATCCTGCATGTCCTGGAAGAGAGGTTCCCTCCAGCCTTCGACGGCGACGCAAACGTCGTTTAAACCCAAATTGGAAAAGATGCCGATCGGTGGACGCTCACGGTCGTGCCGCCCGATCGTCCTCGGTGTGTGTGCGTGTGTAAACGAAAAGAAAGAAACATCTTGCCACCCACTCGACATAGCAAACATGCTGCTGCCGCTTTCATTTGCGCAGGTACTTTGTGAAGAGAGATTCGTCCCTCCCGCTTGATAGTATTGAACGAGACGAAACGCGGAGACGAAAACTGAAGCGACGACGACGACGGTGACGATGGCGACGACAAAAGGCGCGCGCAGCTTCGTCCGTTCGCGTCGCACGTCTCGGTCCAGCCGAAACGTGGCGATCCTAAAGCGTCTTCGCACTTGGCGAAGCACAGTTCCGTCGTCGTCGGGAGGTTGTCTCGTTGCCGCCCGGCCGGGACGGCTCCCGTCATCTCAATCGCCGCCCTCCCTCGTGGTCCAGCCGACGTGGCATAGGTCGATGCAAAAGGACCGGCGACTAGGCGCGGCTAGGTGCGAATGTCACTGACGCACTCGCCACCAACTCTGCTGTACCTTCTCATGGAGCTTCCTGCAAATACCGGCGAGCCTCCGTCACATCCCAGCCTCGGTGGCGTTCTCCTCCGTCTCACCGCCCGGGTCCTCGCTGGAGAACCCGCCGCCGCCATCGCCGGCCCCCGTGTCGCCACCCTCTACCGCCTCGCTGGTCTCGTCGCCCTCCTCCAACGTCACTTGAAAGTGTATCCTGTCTTGCTGTTGCTGACTCTCGTTCGTCGCTTGTTGCTGGTCGTCGGACGGCGGCGACGGCGGTATCATCGACTGGTACCAGTCGCGATTCTCCTCGAGGGTGTCCAGGATCTCCTGCGCGTCCGGATGCACCAGATCTGCCCAGGTCTCCCAGAGCGGATGCACGATGTAATCGATGAAGCCGACCTGCGACTTCTCGACGGTCGCGCTGTGCCGGTCGCACATCGGGCTGATGTCCATGTTTTGCTCCCGCTCGCGGTCGCCTTGCAGGAAGAATTCCTCCATCAGCAAGCCCACCCACCGTCGGTAAAGGGCCAGCGGTTTCGTCGGGTTAGACAGATCGGCGCAGTGCACCAGGTTCTCCAGCACTTGGATACGATCGGTGTAGTTGTCGAGCAGCAGCACGCCGGAACCGGCGACCTTCTTCGTCTCCACCATCGTCTTCAGATCGGCCAGCAGCGACATGTGCTTCGACATGTCTGTCGAGAGGACCATGTCGATGACCATCTTCCGCAGCGTCTGCCGTTGCTTCTTCGTCATGTTCACGAATATGTCGCAGCCCTCGTTCTGCAGGAGCTTGAACGCGACCGCCAAGTGATGATTCTCCAGCACCGACTCGTCGTTGTACATCAGCGCGAGCTCGGAGCCTGAACAAACGCGGAGCGGATCGTTAATTTGCTGATCGTACAAGTAAAACGAGCACAGTTGGCCGCGGTTGCTCTTTCTTTCTCTCTTCTTTGATAAGATATGTGTAACGCATCATTTAATGATGTAAATATTTAGCGCAGCCAAGAGATTGTGCGGAACAGAAAATTTTATCGACTCTCGCCGATACTTACTTGAATTAATGAGGAACTGATTCGTGAGCCCGGGATGATCTACATCGTGGATGGAAGCCGCGAATAATGCAGCGGTAATCTCTAACGGCGTGAACACGGACTGTAACATAAAAACGTACCATTTACGATTACGTTATCACGGGGAATGCATTTCTACTTTTATGACCTCTTCCTTTTATTACAAAGCACGAGTATCTTATTATCGTCAGCAGGATATTTGTAAAGCTTATCGCCTACGTGAGGGACGAGCTACTTATTGTTAGCGCGAAAAAGGGAAGAACTATATTACGTAAGTCCAAAGTGTATACATATATCGCATACGAACCTCGAGTGCGGGCGTGTTGAGCAGAGTGTGAGTAGATTGTGTCACATCAGCTGCATGGAGGCTATTGTGGAAGGGATTATCCTTCACGTAATGATCCTCTAGGGTCATCATAAAGGTAACGAAGGTCTTGGGGGGTATCGCCAGCGATTTGAGCAGATCTCGACTCTGGAAGGCCGTGTACGCCACGCAGGTGAGGGGCCGATTGCTGCTGAGCTCGCCTATCCTGAAGATGTCGATACCCCACTTGTCGATGTCGGAGAGCAACTGCAAATAATTGGTACAAAACATTATCGACGATGTTCACAATAATACAACGACGTTGTGTATGAAGTAAACGGTTCTCTTTGATGTCGGGGCAGTGAGAGAGAGAGAAAGATCGATCGTGGTTATTATTCAATTATTATATCGCACGTACGCGCCTTGTAGCGTCTCGTTGAACGAAAGAATACGATGTGTCTTTGGGTACGTGGATAGCGAAGGTCCTGTGTTATCGCTGCGAGGGGTCACATGCGAAGCTGATTATTCGCGATCTCGCGTATTATTCGCGCGACGGCGAAGACGATAAAAACGAAGCGGCCGAACCGGATTTAAGTGGACTCGACTGGATCGTTTGCAACTAATCATTAGACTGTGATTTTCATTGAGTACCAACGGCACGATCGCTTTCGACCGTGTAGCTTCGTCGATAACAGTCCTCGCTCCCGGACAAACGTGGGAAGCGTCAACTCGGGCACCGTACCCGTGACGATACTAAGGTGACATTCTAGAAGGTTGAATCATAAATTGCGTGGGTACAAAAATGGGTCTCTCTAGTCTCGGGGCAGCCTGCAGGATCACGTAGCCATCTAAGGACACGTCTGCGTCGCATTTAGTCTGGCGAACGTATCGCCAACGGTATCTCCACGAGAAATCTGATTAATATGCAGAATAGCGGCGCTTAATAAACCCGGCCCCTTCCTCTTTTTCATTAAGAAAATTTACCTCGATTTGCATAATGGAAAGATGGCCTTTCACGGCTTACTTTCCCAGAAGTAAGATTTCCATGAGAGTACACAAAGAGTGTTGAAGTTATTTCTCCCCGAGGTGCCGCTTCGCAGACTAGAAGATCACGGATTGTATTTTCTACCGTAAAAGTGGCAAACAAAGCTCCCGACGTACGCGGTAATCGAGAATGAACACCTTGGCGCTACTCCTCGAGTCTCGTTTCGGGTCACCGCGAGTAACGAGTCGGGAGCAGTCGCTTTCGGTAGAAGCGCCGAAAGTCGGTTTCTCTTTCGCGAGAGATGCGCTAATCGGCGAGGCTTTTCGGGTTATCGAAGTCGCGCGACCTGGGCCCAAATGTGCATCTGCACCGGTTCAAATACAACCGGCCTCGTAATCGTACGTCACAGGGTAAACGTTTTGCCTCCCACAAATTATATCATCACCCGGGCGCACCGACCGTCGCGTGTTCGCCGCCGGGAGAGAAAGAGAAGCTCGCGATATGGGAAGAAGAAAGGAAGAGATGTGCGCGATACGATAAGTAACCCCGAGGGGGAAACCGCTGAGGGCATTGTGGTGTACAGATTTACGGCATTACTAGGCATTTTTGGGCACTAGTTTGGGCAATAGGCCTTGCTGGGGCATTATAAAGATAAAATAAGATAACAAGATAAAGCAATGCCCATTAGTGGGCATTTGGTGTACAAGATTTTGGTCAGCGGTTTCCCCCTCGAGTAACCCCCGTCGTGTGTAGCTTAGCAAAATGCTTTAGGCGAAAGTTAATTAATTCCGAGATGATACAAGAGCACGCGAACAAATTAAATTCTTGAAACGTTCGCGCAAAACGGGATGAACTGATAAACTTCCACGTTATTATGTTTACGGGGCGCCTTTCAGTTCGCTAAAACCAATTAAGCTTCGCCGTGACGCCGACCGGTGACACCTTGACATTAAAAGTAATCATTATTCTTCACTATCATCCGGCGAATCAACAAAATAATCTCAATAATTCAGAGAGAGGTATTCGCCACCGGAATTTTCCATGTATAATGAATAAACTCGAATATATATTCAGCGCTTGAATTTCACAGCGCACCCACGTACACGTTGGCATGCAAATTTGAGATGGCCCCGACGTGCACGGGGGTTATTTTTCGAAGAGGACAAATACCGCGAGACTCGCGGTATGGAAGCGCGATGAAAGTTCGGCCGAGTATCAACAGTTAACATAGATTCGGCACAATTAACGATGAAGCGTAAGCTTCGGCGCAAAGCAGTTTTAATTGCCGATCGCAAAGCTCGCGCTTTCGTAATCTCTTTAATCCGCGAGATTTATGTATAATCCTGTATAATCTCTCCCCTCCGCCTCCGGCTGCCTTTCTTTCGCTTTTTTCCTCCCCCGCCCCCCCTTTCTCGCTGTGTCGCTGCATTGCATTGTGTTGCGCACACCGGTGCTGCGAAATGCGAAATCGCGGGTGCTCTAAATAAAAACTTGGTCAGCGTAGGATGCGTGTATCGAGGATGTGCACATGTCGTTCGGAATTTTCCGAAACCGAAGCCGCGTAGTATGACGCCGCGATATAGCACGGCGTAGATATCCATAGCCGGGCGGAGATGAAAGCCAGAAACATCGGGGAATTCTCGGATGCGGTGGAATCTGCGTCAATATCGCGCCGCGGATCAAAAGAACGAAAAGAAACAATAAACCGGGATCACCGACGAGGCCGTCACCGCGATAAATTCGCCAAATGGAAACTTTTCCCGGAAGGCTAGAAACGAGAACCTTTAGTGTATACTTGGTGTAGACCGTTCGGTTAATCCAAGTTCTGATCTCGCGAAACGCGATATAGGCAGCGAGTCCTCCCTAGAAGCACGATGCATGTACCAAACATTGGCCAGGTACAGCCAAGCATTGGGCCACTGTTTAAGGCAGGATACCACCTTTGACTGCGATTTTGGAGGCGTTTTTCATGAATTTTTTTTGCATACAAAGAGTGCGCAGAAATAAAATCGGTTTTAGTCATTTATTAATGTAACTTTAATCTGTAATTACAAACTGAAAAAGTTTCAAAAATAATCTCTTGTAGGTGGCGCCAAAATACATTCCTTTGGAGAAACACCGTTAGACGGCATGTCAAATTCCGCTCTGTACGTGGCTCCTAGAAAAAAAACCAAAGAATGTTCCTATTAACAACAATATTTTTTAATGCTGTACGTAGGGATTTTACGAAATTTCGATTTTTAAGAAAATGGCGGTCATTTTAACGAAAAGGTTTACCCTAAAAAATTGACCTTTTTGTTAAAATGACCGCCATTTTCTTAAAAAT